AAAAAAATGTAGAGAAAAAGAGTAACACATGGAGAAAGCGTAAACACGAACACTCATCAGCAAATTGCTGGCAAAAACGAGGCATTTCGTGTACACACCGCATTAGTGGAGTTCGTGTTATGTTTTGTTTTGTGTTTTGATTGTTGTTATTTTTTCCATCCAGACTCTGGCATGCGAATAGAATTTTTTTTCTCTCTAAATCATACGTTTGACGTATTAAGTTGATTCGTTGGATAATATGTTGATCCATATTTCGCATAAATACTGCAATTGCACGTTGCAGCTAATAGTGAGAGAGAGAAAAAAACACGATTTAAAGTCGAAATATAAACGGTATTCGGGTGGAATGTCTTACTTGAATCATTCAAGTTGAATGAAACTTGTTCATGAAAAAGAAATGGCCAATTCTTACCATTTTTCTCTATATTTAGCCGGCACTACACTTTTGACAATGGCATTATTAAAGGTCTGATGTGGTTGATTATAGAACAAAACCGTTTCGTCTCGTCAGTACAATGCACGGCAAGTTTCAGACTAATGACGCAATATGTAACCTTTATGGAGAAAAAAGCTCAGCATTTTCAATTTACAAATATGCACAAAACGCCTAACATTCTTTTTCTTTTCTGTTTTATTTGCAGCAACTGTTTCGTTCTCAGAATCCGAGTTTAGCTTCAAATGCCGGCGTTGCACCACCGGGTCAGCCCACCGCACAGCCACAGATTCCACAGACACTACCGTTGCCTTCACAACAGTACTTAGCACAGCAAAGTGCTGCCTATGCAGCAGCTACCCAACAGCCCACACCATACGTCATTAATCCAGGTCAAGATGCGACACGGTACATCGGTGGGTATCCGATGCCAAAAATAACCTACTCATTAAATTACCGTACATTAAATGCTAAAAAGCGTCGTTTTTTTCTCTTTCTCCGTTTTTTTGATTCACAGAAATGGGTCTTATACCAGCTGGAATGCCGCAGTATTATGGCGTTCCATGGGGTATGTATCCAGCCAACTTGATACCACAACAAAGTTCACAGCCACCACAAAGGCGACCATTGACACCGTCACAACAAGCCGGAGAAAATCAACCACCCTATCAGGTTTGTATATCGATTGAGATAGAAACAAAAATGAACGATTTTTCGCTCATTCGCATTCCGTTTGATTGCACACGACAATATTTCCAACGAATTGTATGTAATGTGTCAGTTCAGACATTTTGACAAATATTTGTGACATAAATGATTGTATTAACACACGGTTTGAAATTGAAATTCCAACGATTTAACACTTTTCGTGTATATTTCGAGATTCACGCAGAATTTTTGTTTAAAAAAAAATTTAAATAGCCAAAACAAATGTTAGATGTGTGTAAATGAATGTAAATATATAATTTATATACGCAAACAATGTGAAAATGAATCCAAATTTCAAAGCCAAATAAATGAAAATAACCTCAAGGCATTGCGAGTAAAATTGATGGATGGAACCAGAGAAAAAAGAACTGTTGTTTTGGTGTATATAAATATTTATTCCATTGAGCAATTATATTAATTAATTGAAATGTCGATGAAATTCAAATTTGGCCAAATGTTGTTAAATCATGTGGAGAACAAATCGGAATTCTCCCTGATGTAATGCCATTTTTTGCACAATGGATTTTCGTGTGAATATAAATTGACATCACATCGATTTGTTGTAAATATTTAGCCGCGGGAAAACGGAATTTTATTAAAGAAAAACAAACACACCATACGGTGAAAATATTAAATGATAAACTCATTGAACATGTTATAAATACGTTTTTTTTCTGACATAATATTTCCTTCTTCTCCATAAAAATTCCAAATAAAAAAAAACACATATACAAACACAAACACTAAAACTACGCACACACATCGACCAATAACTTGGATGCAGATGATTCAGGCATATTATGATCAAAGCGGTTCAATAGTTATGGGGCCACGAACTGGTACACCGATGCGTTTAGTAAGCCCAGCTCCAGTTCTAGTACCACCTGGTGCTCAAGCACGTGCACCACAATCCATGTACCCACAGCCGCAAACCGCTCAACAAAATCTCTACTCGCAACAGAACGGTTCTAGTGTCGGAGGTAATTTTTATTGTTCTATTTTTTGTCTCTTTCTTTCACCCTCTCTCATTTCAATTAGTGTATTTAATTTAATCACCAACTTTTCAGTTAATGTTCATTCGATTTGCAATTATACTCTAAAATCAATTCGAAACATTTTCAAAACCATCGACGTATTTATCATTCGTTTCCAATTACCTTTGGGTCTAATTTACGTTCAGTTGTTTGTGTTTGTTCAATAAAAATCAACAAATTCATTATTTTATCATTAATTTATTGAGGGTATTTTACAATGCGCTATTTTTTGCCAATTTTTTGTTCAACTAGCAAACCTCTTGTTGGTCATTTCGATCGAACAGGTCATTCAATATGTAACACTTGTTATCATAGAAAAAAAATCACATTAATGATTTCAATTTACTTTCTTTTCGATATTGTTTCGTTTGATATATTTTAATTAAATTACTCCATTTATAAATTTTTACCATTTTGTTTCGCCCGAAAGGGACATTTAATCATTATTTTGTAACAAATTGTCATTCATCCCCCCCCCCCAGCTCCACTTGTTATTAAATATTAACTGCTAACGCAATGGCGGAAAATGCCAATAAAAATCACTCTATTACCAATCATTCGATACCATTTGCATTATTAAAATACTTCATCAACAAGTGTATTTATTGTTTTTCTTTTAACAACAATTACCGTGTACATATTCAAGCATGACTAGTTTTTCGTTTTTTTTATTGTTGTTTACTCAATTATTCCCATATAAAAAAAACTATGAATCGATTTGACTAACTGTTTTTTTTTCTCATCGAATTTTTCTGTATACTTACCATTTCAAACACACACCAATATAAACAAAAACACCAAACAAATCAAACGAAAAAAAATTCTGTTGTTCAGCAGGTGGTTTATTTGCACCACAAGCGTTCAGCAGTGGCTTAGGCACATTAGGAAGTCCAGCACAACCATCAGGTATTGAGAATAACACTCACACATTATATAAAAAAATGACATTCACAGCAAGACTTGTTTATTGCGGCATTTCGCCATATATTACATAAATCAGTTCGTTTTTTTAATGTTCATTTGTGATGGAATTTTTTTGGTTGTCGTTCAAAACTCATTTTTCATTTGCTTTCGTTTTTTTTTTCTGGTATGAAAACATTTTTCATTCGTTATTCCCATTTTTATGATCATATTTTTGCATGGACATTTATTTCGACTCATTTTTCTCGGGAATTTGAACATTTTATATAATTTGTAGTTGAAAATTTGATTAGCTCACATGAGTGATGCATAAAATACGCATTAGCAATGGTGTCACAGTATCAGATTCACAAAACCTCAGCATGTGCGGCTAACGTGTGCAATAAATTTTGCATTAGTCGCTCGACTGCGATGAGATGGCAATGCCGTGTAATGACGGCATATATACATATATATATATATATGCCGAGTGTGTGTCATTTATTCGGTTGAATTTTCATCATCTGATTCGATTACATTGTGCATGAAGCATCGTTTTACCATGGTTTTGATCTTGAGGCCGATATTTTCTTGATCGGGCTACTCTGCGCCAAAAAAAAACGCTCCGCAAATAGAAAAGCACTTACCCGTACCACTCTCGCTTTCGTTAAGCGGCTACAAATTTTCTTACATATTATTTGTCAATTGTTACATCGTGATGACGAGACGCTGAGACTGAAAGCGATTATTATGGCTGAACGTGATGCAAAATGTTTCATTTGTATGTGATGGTAATATTATGGGCAATGAGACTGAGTGTTGCTCCTTTTTTTGCTTCTTCCATGCACTCACACTTCGTTTTCGTGTGTTCGCTTCGCGTTCAAATAACAATAAAAGCGAATATTATTCTGGATGTTCAATTACATCCATTAGCCGGTAACATCATTTATCAATTCTGAAAATTCGATTGTCCTACTTGTGCCAATGTAAAGCTCGCACACCACCAACCAGCACACGTTTTGTAATCATTATTCTTTCTCGTCATATCCATGTTACCGTTTCGAGTCTTTGTCATGTAAAAGCACTTGAATGGAATTGTCACCGCGTTTTTTTGTTGTTGTGCTTGTCTGCCATCTCAAGAATACCAGAAAATTACACGGGGAATTTATTTGAAATCATCCATTTTTCTTCCCCACTTCACAGCGTTTGTTCTGATTTTTTGGAATAATTAAAACTTTGCATGGTTTTGTGAATTTTCATCAACACTAGTTGTGAAGGGCTTCTTGGCCGGGAACATGAGCAACAGTCGACCTTCAAAACTTTTCGGTATTTAACTTTGCGCGAATAGTACTTCTGCCACCAATATGGTGAGATAGAACTTTGCCACATTGACAAATCTCTCGACAACAAAAGTGATGCAACAGCGCAGCGCGCAAAACCGAAAAGAAATTAGTTTCATTTTGTTCGAAAACCGATTTCCAACAACTTTTATCACCAACTTCGAACATTTCCGAACACACGTTTTTTCCCATTGTTCGTCTCGGTTGGCTTGAAGCAATAAAATTAACGACACAAACGTCATATGGCACGAAGTAAACACATTTACAGTCTGAAGCAGAAGCATTTCGCTTCTTTTATTCACTTCTCTATCTCTCTCGCTCGCAGTTTTTGTTGGTTGGTTCTGATGGAGTCTCATGAAAAATAAGCCATAAAACAAAATGCAGCAAAATCAAATCAAAATCGATCCTGACTCCCAACGGGACTGATGATAGCATTTACGCTGCTGAAAAAGTATGTATGACTTAATTCGCACGTTCAAACGATTGTTGTTCAACTATCATGTTCCTGACTACACGATTTTCCCTCTCAACTGGTTGGCTATAACTGATCGAATAATTGCGTTGTACAATCATTTGCTCGTAGTTTTTGAACTAATGCCAGATTCTTTCCACGTTAGTACTTGTTATCGAGTGGATTTATAGAGTTGAATGGCGATAGAAAGCGAGAAAAATGAGTAAGTGCTCTCGCGAGAGTATTTCCACTGCGGATGATTTATTCGATTCGCCAATGCGAAGGAGCATAGTTACAATCTGCATAAGATTCATTTTTTCTGCAACGAGAAATTTTTCGCTGAATGCAACGGAATCTCGTATGCGATTTCAGCACACACACACACACACACAATTGCACTCCGAATAATACGTCGATTATCGACAGTTTGATGTGCATGTCATCGGTTAAACGTACGCTCTCATTCTGATTTTCCAAATATTTTATCGATATAAATGCATTTAAATACAGAGCACACATAAAAACGGACGAAGTTTTATTATAATTCGCACATTCAAAATATATACATTGCTCGTGCTGACGACGAGCGCAAAGCACACCAGAACACAATGATTTACCGATATCCCGAGTTTACGACGCAACGAATATCCTGTCGAAAAACTATTCGCTATTGATTTATTCAAATTAGTTTGGTCGCGTGAGCGAGCAAGCGAACGAATGAGCTCTTTCTCTCTCTCTCTCTTGCAATGAAATCGACAGTTGGCTTTTGTTTTGAGTATTGTCATTTCCATATTTCATGTAATTTTATCGCGAATAAATCGAAAATTCGATTCAACAATACCGTGTAGATTTCGGAACTTGAATAAATGCATATATAATTGAGTGCATGTGTGTATGTGTATGTGTACATGTTAAATGCCATAACGTATACGGACACATCGACATCGCTCACTAAAATATAGGTAACAGACACTGAGTGTACTTCAATTTTCAGGTTTTTATGCCGGAAAATCTAAATCACTCTTCACCGATTTTTATCTAGGTTACATGCTCATTGTCAATTTATAATGGGATTTTGCTCAATTTTACCCGAACAGTAGCTATCTAATGCTTTAATTGAAGTGTTGATGTTAAATCAATTATTCGCTTAACTGTATAAATTCTTGGCATACGTAATGCATATAGCATGCGCTTAAGTATGGAGTTTGTTGATTTTTCATTGATTTTCCATATCAATATTAATGCATTTTATGTTAATGAATGTAGATTATTTGTTTAAATTGCATAACAATTACTATTCAATCAACCCGGTACAGTCGATGTAGAATTTTGCCTGATTATAATTTCATGTTTTGGTGTCGAATCGACAGCATTCGGATAGCTAATCAATCGTTCTATTCATTATTCATTAATGGATGTTCCTTTCCCCTCTAAATCACAGGATTGGCGCTAAATACATCATCTTTGACGGCACGTCGTGATTCATTTGATCGCAACACATCGGCATTCAGTCCGTCGCTTGACTTTAATTCATCGTCAGTGGCTGCTGTTGCTGCCGCGAATGGAAACGGAACTGCAAGTCGCAAATGGCCAGTTAATAATTATGGTGCAATGGCATCAGTTAGCCCATTGGCGCCGGGAACACCGCCACCAACAGGTAGGCTTAGCAGTTCTCTTTTTCAATCGGTTTTTCGTTTGAATACTTGTTCTCTTTCCTTTATCACTTACAAAACTCGGTTTATTTTCTTCTCCAAAAAAAAAACAGGTTTAGGCGCTTTGGTATCCAACCGTGCTCCAGGTGCAGAGACAAAATATCGTAATATAAATCAATTGGCTCCGGTCGGTTTATCAACCGCAAACACAATCTTTGGCTCATCCAATTCGCTATTCTCCAAGATTCCGGGAACGGTTCCAGTCACCGTTTCAGCCGCGCCTGGTGTATCAGCAACACGATCGACCACTACAACTACTCTTGATCGTTCATCGGGCCGTTCACGTTTGCTCGAAGATTTCCGCAACCAACGCTATCCCAATTTGCAACTACGTGATTTAACCAATCACATTGTAGAGTTTTCGCAAGATCAACATGGTTCGCGGTTCATTCAGCAGAAATTGGAGCGTGCAACAGCTGCTGAAAAGCAGTTGGTGTTCAATGAAATCTTATCGTCAGCCTACAGTTTGATGACCGATGTCTTTGGCAATTATGTGATTCAGAAATTCTTTGAATTCGGTACACCGGAACAAAAATCGACCTTGGCCCAGCAAGTGAAAGGCCATGTATTGCCGCTTGCATTGCAAATGTACGGTTGCCGTGTCATTCAGAAGGCGCTCGAGAGCATTCCATCGGAGCAGCAACAGGAGATTGTTCGTGAGCTGGACGGGCATGTGTTGAAATGTGTTAAGGATCAAAATGGAAATCATGTGGTACAGAAGTGCATTGAATGTGTCGAACCGGGCGCACTTCAGTTCATAATCGGTGCATTCTCGGGTCAAGTGTATACATTGAGCACTCATCCGTATGGATGCCGTGTTATCCAAAGAATCCTCGAGCACTGTACAACCGAACAAACCGCACCAATTCTAGCCGAATTGCATGCACACACCAAGAATTTGATTCAGGATCAATACGGAAACTACGTCATTCAACATGTTTTGGGTAAGTGGAAAACACTTGTGATTTACCATTCCCGAGCATAATTACTCATACCGGTCTTTTTCTCTCCTCTTCTCTTTCGCTCTCCATCGCAACATCAACAATGACGAAAAAAAACAGAACATGGAAAACCCGAAGACAAATCGGTGTTAATTGCTAGCGTACGTGGAAAAGTGTTGGAGTTGTCGCAACATAAATTTGCATCGAATGTTGTCGAGAAATGTGTTACACACGCAACACGTGCCGAACGAGCCTTTCTCATCGAGGAAGTTTGTCAATTTAATGATAAGTGAGTATAGCGTTATCTTATGATAAATTTTTTTATCATCACCCTATTAAAATACCATCACACTCAACCGCTAACACAAAAAATTTCACTCGTTTATTGTTGTTTTTAGTGTTTTACACATTATGATGAAGGATCAGTATGCCAACTATGTGGTACAAAAGATGATTGACGTGTCGGAGCCGACGCAGCGCAAAATTTTGATGCATAAAATTCGGCCGCACATGAATTCATTGCGTAAATACACATACGGAAAGCATATTATTGCCAAATTGGAAAAGTTCTTTATGACCAAATCAAATGCGATCGCCCCATCGGCAACGGTTGCTGCAAACAGTACGGGCGGTGCATCGATTGGAAATGCCGTCGCATCACTGAATTCAAGCCTAACGACCAACGCATCGAATACGAGCACATCGTCGGTGTCAACAAGTGTGGTGGTGGTTGGCAACAGTGTTTCGACTGAACCAACGCCGATGCAATCAAATCTCGGACCCATCGGTCCGCCAACATCAAATGGTGTTTTGTAAACAGAGCGTTGAGATCTCTTTTTATAAACCGAAACAAAAATAGTATTTCTTTAGTGTGTGTGAGTGTGTGGAGGATGACAACGGGGAAACACTTTTTATTTGCTGAGCGCACGTTTCAAAATCGTTGATCATCAATTCAGAATCACAACTCATTCATACACACACACACTGAATCGATCATGCATAACATATTTGATTTTGTTCATTAGGCTAAGCATTAATTTTATTCCCCATTTAATTTTCATATTTTTCTTTTTCGTCATAACTCTTCTTTTTTAATATTCTTGTAATTTGATAAACTTGATTTAGTTCGGTTTTCTCTCAAGAATTTCATTCTAGACACATTTTAAGTACGGCACTTTTAAATGAAATCGTCATAGAAAAGAAGTTTTTTCTTTCTCGCTGTTAAAATGAGCATAAAACAATGCACGCTGAATCAATGCCTAGAAAACATATATATGTATGCTCCCACAATGGGCCAAATAACACACAGCAACACAAATATATGAACTGATTTTACTTGTTTGAATGGAAGAAAAACAAATCGCTCTACATTTCATGTAGTGCTTGCAAAAAAATCCGAACTTTAGTCATGTATCGATGATAATCAGCATCACTCTTTTCAACACACTCTATCTCTTCTGTTTTCCATTTGATAATTGAACTTTGGTTCAATGAGAAACAAAAACTGAGTATAATTTCAAATCGCTAGACTTTTTTATACATAGATACTATGACTTTTGATAAACAAAAAACATAAGCAAGTGCGAAAATTGGAGAGTTTTCAATGGAACAGAGTAAATTGAAGGCAATGCCGCAATTTGTGTTGATTTTTTTTTGCATAACAGAAATGCACTGTTATAGTAGAGCAGCAAGAAAAAAGAGAAAAAGAAATCGAGTTGTTGAAGAAATGAATGTTTGTCGTGCATATCGTGTTTTCATTTGAAACAACAGCAACAAATATATAATTGTATAGGGAAAAACCCTCATCAAAATTTCAGTGTTTTTTTAGTCATAATCACCTCAAATTTGAAGAAAAACGTAAAGAAATTGAAAATTGCACTTGTTGAAAGGCCGTACGATTGCGACTGATTTAAAAAATATATATATATATAAATGTATGTATAATCAAAGCATGAAAAAAGACAATTCACTTCTTTTCCACTCATTTCAAAAGAAGTGCACGCTGTTTGAATTCAGTCAGTTCAGAAAAATTGAGAAAATTAACAAAAATGGCGTAGCAATCATATGCATACTGATTGCAAATGCACACAACATTTCGCTACGATGAATTATTAACTCTGACTAAACAAAAAGGGACAGAAATTAACCGATAAGAAATGTTCGTAAGAATAAAACATGCATAAATATGTAAAATTTCACTCGAAAAAAATACACTTCCTCCTTTACTTATACATACTTATTAGTAGTTACATATACATTGTTCACTATTTCTAATAATACACACAATCCCAATTTTAGTATTTGTAATCAAGAATAATATAAAAAAAAATTCAACAATTTTCATGTTCAGTGTTAATACGTACATAAAAAAAACAACAACAAAATATTCATGATAAATATTACATGGTTAATCAAATTGTAAATGAATTAATTCAACAACAACTAAAAATTTAATGTTATTTAGATAATAGAAATAATAAAAAAATGCATACATAAACAATTGTAAAAGCCGATCAGAGGAACGATCGATGATAGAAAGCAAAATCACTTGTGCTTATATGATTTTCAACAGCCACAACCGCTTGTCGGCTGAATAAGATAACAGCTGGCACGAGTGACGAAACGAAGAAATAACGCAAGCAAATGCGGGAAACGGAACCGAACTTTTTAATTGGAATCATCTAATTTGTAAATCAAAGAATTCTGTAAAGTGTATCATACCGTAATGAATTCCAATCAATAGTTTTCAACTAAACAACCCATCCTCATTCCCACTTTTATTTTTTCAAAAGAAGCCACAACCATTTTTTGAACATGATAATCATTTCGGGAATTTGGTTAAATTCATCATGACAAATTTTTTAATGCGTTTGAAGAAAAAAAAACCATGAAAAATAATACTCGAACCATAAAACGCCGAAATTTGTCTTCATTGAATGAACCTTTTGAAATTGCAACGATGCGGCTTTTTATCGGATAAAAATTTATCATGAATTTTCAATGTTGCACACATGAAACAACACAAATAACGCATACACTCGATAGATGATAGAGATGTTTCCTCTGTTTTGTATACATGTTTTATACCTCTTAATCTACTAATAAATTAGTGTGTTTCATATGTATACTCTCCCCTCAAGAAAAAAAACAAACAAACTATTTTGATCACGATTCGCCTATTTATATATGGCTTTACATTAGTTTCATTCATTATTAGTAATTAGTTTAGTTGGTGACAAGTCTTCGAAACAAATGACAAAGAAGTTCTATTTTTTATTTGATCCAATTGCAACAAAAATGCAAACAAAACTGTCAACCGATTGAAGAAAAACGTCAACAACTAGAAAAAAAAACCTAGACGCTCACAATGAAGCTCGTTCCAGAATCAGTAAGGCCACTAACGAAGGCATAGTTGATCAAACAAACAAAAAATGACGATCGCATTCAATGAAATCGGCTTCAAGCAGCAAGAAAGTGCCTCGAAACAGTACGATGGCTGTATTGGATCGATTCGATTAACTCACAGACAGATTGATCTCGTTCGATGAATTGAAGAAAACACATGACCCAAGTCTCCCCCATCGCTTATTTTTTTTTCTTTCATTCTTTCTTTTCATTTTTCAGCGAGCAATTTTAAGAACGGTGTTCACTGAACACAAACATTTGCACAGTTAAATTTTAGAAGAAAACAAAAATTTAAACCAAATTTTACGACAAATTTTTAGCATTTTAGTTTCATTTGATTATTTTTGGCAACAAAAAATGAATATTCAACAAAACAAAATAGATAAACCGAAGATATCGAAGTAAATAAATTGTAAAGTTTGAGTTAGATTGAAAATAGGATTTGAAAAAAAAAAAGAAAACTGATCGCATTCGACCATTTTCGAGAATGAAAACAAAAATCACAACAAACACAAAATTGGTTTGAGGATTGTAAAGTGTAAAATAGTGCTAGGAATATAGTCCAATTGACCGTAAAAGCAAACGGTTTTTAAAAATTTCAAAATCATGATGGGAGAATTCGTTTTGAGACACAAACAGAATAGCTAAAAAAAGAGCCGACAAGCGAGAACGAATTGAATAAAGGAAATTTTTCGAAAATGTGAATCAAAATGAAACATAAATACCTTCAAAACTGAACAGAAATCAATCTTAATTCGGGGATAAAATCATAATGCCGCTTCGAGTTTCTGGTACTCTAATTTAAATAACAATCCCTGTGTGTGTGGAATGAACTGAAACCGGTTTTTTTTTAACTGTCCGAACGCTAGTTATCCAGTTCGGATAGAAATAATTCAGAAAGCGAATGAAAAGAAAATTCCATAATTTTTTTTTCGTCGTTTTTCGTTTTTGTAACATTATGTGAAAAAGAAAAGCAAAACAAACAAAATTTCCTTGTAAAACAAATTGTAATTAATATGTATTTTTGTATTGGCTTAAACATTAAATTAAAAAGAGTGAAGAAGAAGGAGGTGAAAAGAAGAAAAAAAAAACGTTAAACAATTTATGTGTACATCCCGTTGTAATTAGAATGAAAAAAACAATTGTAATTTCTGTATGAAAAGAAAATGACATTTAAATCGAGTATCAAGTGAAGAGAAAATATGTATGAAAATGGCATACAATTTCGTTATGGTATGTAATCACTGTATTTAAACTGAAACTGAGCAGCAACAAAACTTGCAAATAGAATGTGTTTAAACCCCAATAATGAACGTTGTATTAAAGCCGACAAGACTTTTCAATGCAAAACTAAGAAAAGAGACACACGACTAAAGAGAGACACCCATACAAACACAAAAAATCAATCAAGATCACTGAAATTTCTGTACAACATGTAAAACAACAACAAACAAATAATTGACATTAAATTTACGAATCATGTAATAATCTCTAAGTAACGAACATATTATTATTGGAAACATTTAGTATTTAAGATGTCTCATTTAGTTTATCCTCTGTACGATACGCGACTCAAAATAAGGCTTGAAGATCATACAAACCGATACACACAAACACACCGACACACATTATTGAAATTGACATTCGGCGTCGATGCGCCGAACGGTGTTCAATTCAGCCGTATTTATCAGTCAACAAGTCTTATTTTTGTCACACATTTCCTTTGTATTGATAAACATTTGTTTGTTTTTTTTCTCTCTTCGCTTAGGTTAAACGACACGATCGATCATTGATGATTCGGATATTGGTCACCAATCTCTTTTTCTTCATTTCAACGTAAAATGGTACTGTAGTTGTGGCCCATTGCTATCGCTCAAATACCGAAGCCGCTTACAATGATCGATCATGTCTCATTAAGGATCGACTGTATAATTATAATTTTTAATTTATGATTTCAATAGCATGAAAATTTACAGCTACGAAAGAAACATAATCTCGTAAATAAAACAAACACATCGTTTGAATGAAATAAAAAGGAAAAATTAGCAAAAAATGGATTAAAAACACATAGACATTATGCAATTCTTGAACATAGACATGGTTCCATAGAATCACTACACACACATACATTTCTAGCGTATTTTAAGCAAAGAACGATTTACTGAAACAGATTATATCGAATGGCGAATAGTAATTCCTAGTTATAACATTTTTCTCAAATCAACGTTTATACATAATCCAGTATCAAATATACATAATCCAGGTCATGCAAACAAAAACACAAATACACACACACAACACATCCACAATTCAAATAAATCTAATATAACATGCGTATTCAAGTACATTATTCATTATAAACTATGCCGTAATTGCTACGTCTTAAAAATCTACATTCAAATAAAATTTTACAATGAAAACCAAACAAAAATGACAAAAAATCACATCATTAGATGCCATTTGTTTTATTTTTTATTTTTGATTGACCTTCCGTTTTCAGTTTTTTTTTTTGTGTTTCACAACCCGATCCACGTTTCTGTTTTGTGTCATTTGTTTCCGTTTCGTCTTACTTTGGTTGCTTTTTCTTCTCTTTTTTTTTCGTTGTCCTGTTGATGATAACAGAGTTGTTACTGCGTCTTTATTTTTTTTTTATTTCAGAATATCATGCATATTTTGTCGATAAATTCGTTAGCGCATCACATTCCCATTAATGGATTTAACATGATTAATAAAATGATTTTTTGAACAGAAATGTTTCATTTGAATTGGAATCGACGTGTGAGCCTGATCACAGGAATCATTAATTCCGTACTATTGGGGAAGAAAAAAAAATTGCGCTATCACAACACACATAACACATTTGAAGAAGAAAAATCGAAAAGACTATTAGTTGCCCGTGTATTTTGTTCTTAAATTGAACATCTGCACCATCATTTGCTTTCTTTTTCTTCTATTGATTTTTCTCGTTTTAATTTTTTTTCATAAAACATTTTTCTTTCATCACACAGCCAATTTTTGCTTTGTAGCTTAATGAATTTCTAGATAATTATATATGTGTATATTGAAGTGTATTTTTTTGAAAAACGAATCATGGACAGAAAGAAAAAAAAACAGAAGTGGCAACACTGAATTGATGCTGGTGATTTCAATAAAAACCGAATGCTTTTTATCAAACCGAAAAAAAATCCAACATCCCCCAATAATAATCAAAAGAGTGATAAACCCAATTATCAAACCAAATTGACTGTTGACGAGAGGTGATTCAAATGCATTTCGTCAACTGTCGATCGTGTAGTTGTTATCCGTTCGTCACCCTGTATTTGTTTTTGTAATTACTTTTTCCTATGACAACAAACCAATCATCATCATTATCATTATCACACATACAACACCCACCCACACTCACACTCACATGTTCTGTAAACGTTTTAAGCAATGTCCAAATAAATTAAATGTGTAATTGTATCCAAAAAGAAGGAAAAAAAAACAAAAACGCGTCAAACATAAATGTCTGTTGGTGACCAAAAGAAAAAATCACAAAATAAATGGAATCATAGTTGTATGGTTTTGCATTTCCTTTTTAAGAGAAACAATTTTTATAATAGTAAATATAATTAACGAAAAAAAACTAAATGAAATCAATTATAATGATTACATGGAAGCTGGCATTGGGAACATAAATAAAACAAAAAAAAAGAAGAAAAAAACACTCTTTACGATATTTTTTAAACAAACACAAAGAACAAAAAAAGCAAAAGTACGCATAAAAATAAACTAACGAAAACAAAATAACACCCTCCTCCTCTAATTACATGTGAATTAAAGTGATTGCGCCATACAATGTTCTCTGTCATACTGTTTTTTATAATGACGTTTTTAAAAACATGAACAAATGAACAAGAGTTCGATTGTGTTCCAACGATTCAAGCTATCGATTTTAATTTCCGTTTTGAATTTCATCCAGTGTCAGTTGTCACACACTCACAAAAAACACAAACACACTACATCACCAATTTGCATTTTTCACACCACGCACATCAAACAACCTACAAAAATCCAAGACAAAAAAGCAATTCACATTTTGGGAGAAAAAAAAACCGATTAATTGATTAAAATTTTCGTTTGACCCTCGCTCCATTTCCGAAAATTCACTCCAAAATCATTTCAATTTCGATTCCAAGAAACGATTCATTTGTGTTTTAACTTGACAGTTTTCTCTGGTTTTTTCATTGGTTTCGTCAAGCCAAAATCTTCACTCATCGTAGAACACATCAACACTTAAAATAGAAATGGAAAGAAATCAAAACAAAAACTTGTATTAAATTATATAATGTGGAGTTTCCCACATACACACACTCACATATACACAATACTTAGAATTGAATTATCGTCCACATACGGGGAAAACGATAATGACTTTTTGGGTAGTGTTATTTGATAATAAATTTAGAATTTTTCTCTCACTGCAAGTTGGAGTCTGCAACATATTTGTAAAAACAGCAGAAGGAAACAAAAGAAAAACACATTGTGAATACAAAAAGAAATCAGCAGAAGCAGAAGTTTGTTTGTAAAAATTGTTTGTCATGCGACTGCATTAGCGGCTCTCCCTTAGCTTGCAAGTGATTTACAGTCGACGGCTTATGTAATGAACTGGCAGTTCAGTTCGCTTCATGGCAATATGTATTTTGTGCTTCTCGATGTGGTCACACACACTCACAGAAGAAACAAAATTTGTAGCTGTATTTTAATATTCGTAAATAAATAGTCAATAATTTCATATAGTAACACATTTTTTTTAGGGTGTAAGAATATAAAGTTAAATGTAACTTAAATGTAAAGATTAAATGGTTTTCAGCGCAATTTCTCTAAAATAGACATAGACGACATGAAATCAATATATTCACTCGGTGCGCGATGTATGCGATGAAATGGAATAAACAATTTTCTCGATTGAAACCAAAGCCAAAAAATTGCACAACCGATCACTCGATCGGCTGGCAAAGCTATTGATACTATAGTACTTCATTCGGCTCTATTTTGTAAAGCAAACACACATTGTTGTTGGCCACAATGGATATCTACTAATTGTTATTTATCACAAATTCTTTGAATTTAACTCAAAACGACAACCAGACATTTATGAGAACAAAAAACTACTTGATAACATTTGATACTGTTTGTGTGATTATTCTACCGATTACCAAACATACCGATAATGGTACGGTTATGGCCATGATATGTATATTAGTTGGGCCTTCCGAACGATTTTCTCGAATTCAAACAGCCGGATTTTACGACATTTTTATCATTTAACACGCAGAATGCAATGCACTTGACATTAACTGTGAATCTTTTCGGCATTCCATTGATATCTCGTAAAGATGTTGCCTTAGATTTCGATTTCTTTTTTTCGAAATTGAGGCGGATTGGCAAAAATAATCGAAAATGAGAAGAAATTCGATTTAGAATGGAATAAAAGTCCACCAAAAATGGAAACTAAAAGAATTCACTGTGCATTTAAAGAAGATTCCAGCTGCCATGAAGTAGTAACTCTCGAATATTCGTTGGAAGGGAAGGCCTGGAATATTACTAATTTACTCTTTAACAAAAAAAAACCGTAGAACCTATGTGAAGCTATTTGTTTCCATTTAAAAATACTGAATGTAGGTGTTTAATCCAGAAAAAATTTAATCATGGTCTCTGTTTTGCATCTCGCACTTAATCGAGTCTCAAATGTATCCAAGCCAAAACGCAAATCCATCAAATATGACAGATATTTTGAGCCTGATGGATGATGATGATGCCGACAACTACAGAGTGCATACGAAAACCGTAATCAAATTTTTTGTACGTTGCATATTATTAGCATAGAATTTCGTAATATTAACTGTGTATCATAACATCAAAAACCAACCAAAAAATAACGTGCACAAATTATTATCAATTTTCCCTCAGTTTCAGCATTATTTTCCCATTCCATTTTGATCTTTTTACCTCTTTCTACTTTACACGATCAAATCCAATCATTTCGACCCGTTTTGCGATAAATCCCAATCTGAAAGCAATTTTCAAAATTTTTCCTTTCATTTTATTTTCTGCACCTATTGCACGATTTGATTTTTCTCCACACTTTGTGGACAAACATTCAAATCTCATTAAACATGTGCCTCGATATATTTCTCCCAAATTCTGAGTTATTAAATTACCAGTAAAAATTGAATCAAACGGTTTTCAGAATGAAGTCAAGTCATGCCTTTTTTTGAAAGAAAAAAAATATTTGGACTGGATTTGAATAGTCAACTCCATTGCTTGAAAATAAAATTGAAAATATTCAAAAGTATCAGAGCAGATAAATTAACTAATTTCTTTTGAGTTTGGTGAATTTTCGTGAAAACCGATGCCAAACCATTTGATTTACCAAACGAAAAAAAAAGAAGAAAAACTTTTCGTTGCTGCTAAAACAAAACTTAAAAAAGAAAATTTACTTGATTTCTGCACATAAATTGTTTTTTAGTAACAAACCATAAACTCATTTGGTTCCAATTTTCTGTTAAAACCCTTCCCGCCACTCAATGTGCATCAATGTTAAATGTATAGAACAGGCGTGTGCAAAAACATTCTACTGAACGTATTCTTCGACCTTGAACTTGTTTTTTTTTGTGTGGAAAAATTTTCGTTTTTCGAAAAATGCGTTGAGTTGGCTTTTTTCTGGCCACGTCTGGTATAGAATATTATAGTAAAGGTGGGCGCTTAAACTTGCGCATTTTATTGAATGAATTTAACCAATGAAATAATTGTAAATTTTTCAGGCGATTTTTTTCTATGTGAAACTTAACCATTGTATGTATAACTCGTTATAACCATTGCATATTATTACCTTTAAAAACAACAACAACAACTATTGCTACATTTAATAGCACACATCAGAAAAAATTATTATTATTGAGAGAAAAAAAAAATCAACAACAGAAAAATCATTTGTATTGAGATTATTACTGTAAATTGCAAATAAGCAAAAATAAAATAAAATACATTTCTGTATAATTGCCAAAAAAAATTAGCGTTTTTTTCACTTTTTCATTGAGTAAAGAAATAATCTTTAAAAAAATATACAGGCAAATTATTTCTTAACACTTAATGTTTGTATCCAATTGTTTTTTCCACAGGTCATACATTTTATTGGGATGGACACCATGAATACTGATCATTTGGCGTAAACTGCACACATCGAACGGTGTATCAAATGCGATGCTTTGATTTAGAGCTAAATTGAACTTCTCAAATCCAAAAATTCGCTTCACATTCATCAATTGGGCAACAATGCCCGTTATAAATACATCCTCCAATTTTAAATAGGGTAGTGTCAAGGCTTTCATGTACAGATCATGAATGGCCGAACGACTTATTAAATATGCTCCTCCAACGACAAAAGACGGAAATCTACTCGGAGAATATTCTTTTCGTGATAGAACATTTTTCTGGTCTTTGGTCTTACGACGAATTGGTGTCCTGAAATTAAAAAAAAACGGTCAAAAACATTTATCACATGAATTTCAATAATATATTGCTATCAACGTACATTTTGACCAGATGTCCAAAGATGACTTTTTGATTAGCTGCAGAGTGGTTGTCATCAATGAATGACATCAATTGCATTACATTGATGAACATGTCGTCATCAACATTGAATACAAATTCTGCTTGCGAACAGTGCACATCGACCCATTCCAATACAGATATCGTTTTTAATGTTAAATTATCGTAGTTTTCTGTAAAATGAGAGCGGACGATATCGCCGTAAAGGTCAGACTCGTCTTCTAGCGAATTTTCAGTCGAATGATTGTTGGTAGTTCCGATTAGAAATCCCAATGAAATATCGTTACGAGACCCATAAACGCCCCATGTGTCACGTATCGCGATGCGTTGATTGTGATTCTTCGGTGCAGACCTGACCATTATCAATAGACCTGCAATTAATCAATTCAATAAACATTACAAAAATCAAATTGCTTGAGTCAAATTAATCAGACAATAAATTATTGAAAGAAAAAAAAAGGTTATTACTCAGGTTTGCACCATTGTCATGTCCACACAAATCAGGATTTACTATGAAATGGCCCGGCTCGTACAAATCAGATACACGCTTGCTCGTTGTCGAAAAATGCTCAAGTTCGTTTGCACCAGGTTCGACATCTGTGGAAATCAATCGGATTAATTTGTGGAAACACAAACACACTGTCATGGAATTGAATTCTTTTCATTTCAATTCGAAAATATTAAAATAAAAAAACACTATTATAGCTATATGTCGAAAGAACACAGAAATATTTGAAAATAGCTTTACTTTGGTTGTTTTCGACTACGGGCAAAGCACTAGCAGCACCAAGCAATCGTGTTTCATGCAAAAATAGCATGGATACTGTAAGTGAGAAATATGTCTTGGTCAACATTATGATTTCGATATGCTCTATTGACTTGAAAATGTCTTCACTTGCTTAAGGATGCTTGGACACACTTGAACTGACGATTTGATTTGACACGTTGTCTATTTTATACAATTGTATCGCCTTGAACAAACACTCATAGCAATATGGTTTAGTATACCATCGATGTTTGGAACTGATGCGTACGCAAGTATGTTTTTTAGATAATTTAATCTAAAGCATGTCCCTAGCCGGATATGTTGCTACGATAAACATAGTTCCAATATTCGTTGTGTTGCGGTTAGAAATACAAAATTGCTCAAAAGTTTCGTGTAACTAACTCGTTTAGATCAATGAGGAACTCAGTTTCTAGGGAATCCATTTGTATAACTCATACGAGCTGATAATATGCGGACTTGTGCATACGAGGGGCAAAACAATACCAGAGTATTTCTTCTACTCGAGTAATTCCTCGTTCATCAGAATAATTCGTATCATCATGTTTTTAAAAAATTATCACCTCTTTGTCGCAATGACAGTTCAATATCTGATTCTTCTGTAATTTTGATTGATTTATTTTAACTAACTACTTGAATACAGAAACGTCAACATAAGTCAGGAGAATTACTGTGGCGAACGAGGAATTATTTTTCGACTGAAAGAATTGCTCTGATACTGTTCTGCCCCTTGATAAAACCACTTTCATCTCTTATTTCCATGGGCGAAATTGAGAGTGCTGTATGTTTTTGATGACTTTTGATAAAATATGTGTCACTCGTAGTTTTTAGCAATTTCCTAATGACAGGAAATGTCGTAAATGTCTTTGCAAAATAAATTGTTCGTCTTGCACACACGGTACAACTTGTTAAAGACTGTATATCTGTTGAAATAAATAAAATATTTCAAGTTTTGCTAACCGCTTGAAAACATACTCTCTTCCGATACAAAGTCTGTGAAACATACACCACTCACAATTTCATCCAATAGATTTGCTAGAACATGAACGTCCATCATATTTAATGAACCAGCAAATCACAAATGAGTAGTTTGTAGCGAAAATGTAATACAGAATAGTTGCGCGGAAAAATGTAGATGATGAATGAGCGGAAAACGGATAGCTATATAGTACTTGATATATCACTAAATAAAAAAAGTTGAAAGAACTTGCTATTTATAGTTTAATGAATTCAATAATTTTACCCTATTACTATGTTCATATTTTTTCAGATTTCTCAAAATGTACACAAACAAAGAAATTTCTTCTTCAACGAATACATGTCAAAAACCAGCATTATTTGGCTTCCATTCATGTGTTACATTTACTTTTCATTTCAAATTCTCCAATCATCTAATTTGCCTAGAATATCGTTCAATTGAAACTGTTTGTCATTCAATTTGAATGATTCAAACCATTTTATATTGTTGTTATTCAAAAGTCCTTGTAAGAAAAAAAACACTCCAAAGTCTTCAAAAATGGATTTCCACTGCGATTTATTGTTGTATTGTTATTCCGTGGTTTGTTTGTAAATTCATTTAATTATTTAATAGTCGAATGGTGTGAAAAAATTTGTCAATAATATAATATAATCTTAATTCTACTCGTTAAAAACTAAAATGCATGTGTGTTTTGATTGAAACATGACTATGTTGAAATTGTTTATGCTGTCAAAGTGGTCCCGTTGGTTGTTTTGTTCTGGGCTGGAATCATTTTGCGGAAGATGTCGGATAGCTTGACATTTTGGAATGCCGAACGTTTCAATGTCTTATCAACATGTTCACGCAAACCATTAAAGGCCACTTCAATACGTTGATCTGGGATACGAATCACTGTGAGAATGAAAAGTAAATACACATAAGTACTATTCAACCAAACAAAACTAATTGAAGCATTGGCTTACGTGTATGTTCATATTTTGGTAGATCGAACATGAACTGGAAGTATCGTAGTTGCAGGTACAAGTTGCCTTCGGAGTAACACTTGAGCAAATGACCTCGCTTGCAAGCCAAACACATCGGATGGCCCTTGCCATCAGCCACCTACAAGTTGAAGAAAAAAATGTTGATTTAATGCAACGCAAAAAAATTAAATGCCTTAATTCCACTCACATGAACATAAGTGCGTGTGCTCTGGTTGCAGTTCGGCTCATCGCACACCATCCAATTGTCGTAGTAGTCTCGAATAGCCTTTCTGATCGCCAGCGACAAGTGATTCTTAATATTTTCCAATTGATCGATTGGACGATGAAGGCACTCTTTATTTGCACATGCGTCGAGCACCGGCTTAAAATCGTTGCCAATCTTAGCAAATGGCTTTGCGATGACGTTGTCCGTTTTGCATCCAATACATTTGAACGTGAACTTCGAACAAGCACGATATTTTGCGGCATTCGATTGTACAATGGACTCACCGATGGTTTCACTACGTTCATTATCGTATGAAGTTCTGGAAAGAGAACATGAATATGATTTATTTTGAATATGCAATTGTTTTGCATCAACACTATCAAGCTTAACGAATACCACAAACATTTACCTTTGTGCCCCTTCACGATATTTGCTTGGATCAAGGCCAAGGCATTGTGCGATACGCGCTGCATCGGTTCCTTCGATTGGTTTCAACAGACGTGATACGACTGGATGAATTTGATTGGCCAAATAATACACTTTGTCAATCTTCAATTTGCTTTCGCTCTTCAATTCATCCAAATGATAGCCACGTTGCATTGGATTATTCTCCGTTTCATCCTCACAAATCACATAGCTAACCATGTCGCCTCGTTTGTATCGCTTATTCTTCGAGGCGTTCATGCGCAGTGCAACTTGAACGTGTGGCATCGATTGGATCTTTTGATATTCACGTGGATTTTTCGTCAATTGCTTTGTGATCGTTAGCATATTCAACGGAATATCATCATTATTGATGTCATCTCGAATTTTCTCCAATTTTGCATGAATGTTTTCGATACGTTCATCCAACGGTGCATCGGACAGTAATTCATCAAGAACCAGTTTACCCGCCATAACTGACACTTGAGACCAATCACGCCGAACGATATCCAATCCCTTGTGCTCTTGATGACACTCCAATTCGCCTGCCTTGGTCTTTGTCACCGTGACAGCAGCATACTTTTTCTTATTCAACAACAGCATATACTTGTAAACACCATCAATATCCAATTCAACTTGACGATAGATTTTATTGACCGCTTGTTTTATTGAATGGCCAATTTTGAAAACTTCATCGTAGTCGGTGCTATGTGAATTGATCATTATACTATCGGTGTCACCGTAAATAACCTCAAAATTGAGTTTCATAACGATTCCCTTGGTGTTGAGCAGAATGTCACGTCCTTTTTGCGTAACCAATGCAGCCAAATGTTTGGCATAGAAACGTGAGTGTGAAAAACCCAAGCAACCGTACATCGAATTGGCTGTCAGTTTCAAAGCCAACTGACGAATATTGTACTGAGCCTTTAAATCAGCATCCATACCGGGCACAATCAGTTTTTTCACCTCACGACGACACTCGACCAAACTGCGAATTTGACGTGGCAAAATTCCTTGCTTCAATAACGTGTCCGGCACATCAATCGGATCGTCTTCGTGCTCGGGCGGATCGACGGTGGTAAAGCAAATATTGTACTCTTGAATGATGCTCGGGTACAGTGAATTGAAATCCATCAGTAAAATGTATTTGTCGTAGAAACCTTTGATGGGCTCCAAAACTAAACCACCGGCATAGGCAGGTTTCTTTCGTCCACCTTGTGCTTGTGCTGGCGCTTGTGTTGATGCGATCGCTTGCGTTCCACCAAAGGCCTGCGTTGCACCAAAGGCCTGCGTAGAATTGACTGCTTGTGATTGGTCCATCATGTTTTCGTCTTTGTTCCAATTCGATTCGCGAATCTTCTTATCCGGCACGATGTAATCCTTTTCATCGAATGCGTGTAGAAGTAAAAATTCATTTCGCTCTGAGCGACCACCTTGCAGCGTACGGCTCATTAAATTGCCGCAAATATTTGTAATTTGCAGTGCCAGCGGCAAAACATTTAGCTCACACATGATTCGCAGCACGTATGAACAATCTTGCAATGTGAGAGTAATCAATTTTAAAATGCCATCGGCACTTTCGTACATTTCATGCAGTTCATCATTTGATACCTCGATTCGGTCTCCCTCTTTGAGTTTCAGCACCGTTTCGCAGAGTGTATCCAAATCATAGCTTCTTGATTTGATTAATTCTTCGGCTGATGATTTAACATCGCATATCATGCGACCCACAAAACAATCCTTGAACTTTTTCGGCATTGCCGACAAATTCAATCGACCAATTCGAGACCACATTGGCAGTTTTATGGCCAGCAATCGATCGCATATTATGTCCAGCTGACAATCGCTTGCATCGTGCGTAACAATCAAATCGGCATCGTGATTTTTGAAATTGGCCAAAAACCAACTGAGCAACGCACGCTCTGAATCTAGCTTAGTTGCTTTCAAACCCTTATACTTTGCAGCCGCATCATTCATGCCAACAATTGGCCAGTTCTGTGAACTTGGCCGCGTAAATCCGCAGAAATGCTTTGTGAATGGTGGATTTGGTGGCTTTTTGTCCACCGAAAATTTATTATTGATCAAACAGGCAATCATAACAATTTCATTTGTCTGTGTTTTTGGATGCAAAGCAGTGCGAACGTATACGGTGGCAATGACCAATGGCGGTGGCGACGCTTTCACATCGGTGGCTACGCTTATCAATGATGGATTTGCACATGTGATCGCTAAATTACACCAAGTCGACTGTTGCACTTTGCTCACTTGATAATTGCTTATGTTCAACCAACATGGCCCCTTGATTTTGCGCTGCAACAAAAACGTTTCCAATGGATTTGTGTTGCAACCGAAGACGTGCTCGATGGTGTTGAACACTTTCTTGGCGTCTGGCGGTGGGTGATTAGCAGTGTAGAGCACCTTGAATGAGATAAAAAGTTGCCGATAATTTTATTTACATGAAATAAATCTGTTTCCCTGAGTAAATTTGACTATCTCATTTTTGGTTTAATCTTCATTATGATTAAGTTTAAGCCAATTCAACTCAAACAGTATAACTAAAATGAGTTACCTGTAAATAGTCACACGTCTGTGGCACCTTCACACCCGGAACGTTGAATGCAAAATGTTTCGTGACTTTTTTACACTTGAAATCGTGAGGGAGATAGTCGTTGAATTCCGTGTAAACATCACCGATTGCCACTTCCTTCTTGGTTGGCTGTTTTGTGATGGGATCCAAAGCCTGTCGTAACGCAAAGAAATGATTTTAATCATTTTCCACGAAAAAAAGTATCGATAAATCAACTCATAAATCGAACATACATATCGACGGGGCAATAAATGAAGGCATCGATTGACATTTTCCACTGTAATGCAAACCGATTTGAACTCCTTTGGATTTTGGTCCGATACAATTTTGCCGAATAGGAAAATTTTGCCGGGCAATTTGATTGGATCTTCGTAGGCATCCCAATACCAAAATTTCATGCTGGACTTGCCATCAACGGTGTTTGTAATTGATGCCTGTGTTCCATCCACATCAATTGACCCCAGCAATTCGTCGTCATCATCTTTTTCGTCGGCAAAACTATTTTCCCAACTCGATAATAGCTTGGCATAATTTTCATTCTCTTTTTTCAGTAAATCGGCCTTGATCTGTTCCGTCTTGGCTTTTGACTCGTTGGAAGCTGACATTGTTTCAGCCACATGTTCGTTGAACTGATTCTCTGCATCGTCCAACATGCTGAAATCCAAATCGTCACCAATCAATTCGTTCATGTCCACATCATTCGCAACACTTGGTGTAACTGGTTCTGCTTTCATTGCGACATGGCTCTTGTCAGTGCCATTGGTTGCGGAATGTGAATTTGGCGTTTTCGCTGGTGTTGATTCCATTTCGGCTTTAGTCTTTACTGGCGATGTTTCATCGCGCGGTCGCTTCAGAGAACGACGAACGTTTGACTGATCTTTTGCTGTACCATTCACGGCCGGTTTCAATAGACGTTCCAATATTTCCTGTGAGAAATACACAAAATTCATCATTAGAAATCAATTGGAATTAGAAAAAATGGATCGAAGTTTTCAGTTCAACTCACATCGTCACTGGTGGACTCGGTTTTGGTTTCTTGCTTGCGTGGAACAACCTTTGAAAAATTGGCAATATAATCCTTAACCAAAGCCATTTCAGTCTTTTTATTCATTTTACTGGTAGCTGTTGATGTGTTTGACTTTGAACTTGCAGTGGTTGATGTGCTTGTGTTGCCATTCGATTCGGGATTAATCTCACCCAAGATATCCGCCAAAATGTCATCTTCATTGATATTGACTTTGTTTTCCTTCTTCTTGGCGACCACATTGCCAAACATGCTACGGATCGATGCATTGCCTTCCACCGGTTTGTTCACATCACGGACACGCTTTTTGCTCCCTTTCTTGTTGGCTTTGTCACGTTTTCTGGTTTCTTCATTTTCTTCCTCCACTTCTTCATCGTCGAAAATTTCACGGCCGTCTTCGACGTAGCCCGTGCCATCTGAACGTTTAACCACATTTAATCAATCACATTCAATTTCAATCAATGAATAGAAACATTTCGAATGAATATTTGCTACATACCGTCTTCAATCCAATCATCATTTGCCCGTGACAACACTCGCTCCGAATATTCTCTCTCGGACACTTCCTCGTAAACATTTTCAATTTCGGCCACTTCATATTTGTTTTTGTTTCCTTTGAGATTTTTCAATCGCTCCAATGCCGCGAAACGACCGTGTTTGTCGATCCTTTGGCGCTTTGACCGCGAACAAGCTGTTGTGACAAATGGAATAATTTTTTACTTTCTATTTTGTTGCCTAGCCCATTGAAATATTTAAAAAAAAGTCACAGTGATACTTACACGGTGAATCACTCATATTTTTTTCAAACAAATTCACGTTATTCAAACAAAATAAAATCAAAATCAAACATAAAATGTCTGAACTATCATTCAATTACGGTATTTTCTTTGAATTCATTAAATGTATATTGTGCAAACAGTGAACAATGAAAATAATTTCATCTATTGCGATGACAATTGTCTGAATTGGCGCGAAAACTGCTGATACAGCGGATGAAACCAAAATATTATTGAACCAAATGAACAATTCGTGCCCGATGCGATGGGCATGTGTTGAATTCAGTAGACGAGTGAAACGAGAGAAACGAGAATCGCACCACACTCTGTGTGCGATGAACATCTGTCAAAACGGAGAACGCACACGCAGCCAACTTCGCTTCGTTTGGTGAATTGAAAATGAAACAAGTATTTTTTTTCGGTTTGGCATTCACACAATCAAGAACATTTAAATGAGACCATAGAAAAAGTGCAACGGTAAAACCATCAGACAAATCAAGTGTAAAACACGAAGAAACTTCATCATCTCCACCGAATTGTGTGATTAGTTAATTTTAAATTGAATTCTAAATTGAATTTACGACGAAAAATATCGAATTTTGAACAAATTTCGGTTAATTTGAGGTAATTTGTAGCATTTTTCTGACGTTTCTCTTTGTTCCAAATCTAAATGCTATTGTAGTGAGAGACTGTAGACAAATTCTAATTCTTCTTTCAATTTCTTTGCCTTTTTGTCTTCCTTTTCTCACTTTCAACTGTTTCAACTAAAGTTTATCGACAATTAATTAATTTAAAATGTTCAAAAAACCAACATCACCGGCCCGTGGTAAGGAAAATGTTGCTACGTCAAGACCGCGATTGGGTTTGTCGTCATTGATTCAACAGTCGTCGAAGGTTAAAGTTGACAGTGATATTGAATCGGCTGGTGCTTCGTTCAAAGGACTTTCAGTGGAAAATCCACGGAAGATATCACCAAATTCTGCGGCGATGAACAAAGCGAAAAGTGGCCACTCTAGTGCACAATCATCTCATTCAGCTGGTCGATCGGTACCTGGTGCAAGCACGGCTGCGAACCATCTAAAAAGTGCCGCGAATGCCGATTCCAATAGTTACGACTTGAAATCGACGACCAAAATGGAATCGAGTGGAAAGCCAATTGGTGTGATGCGTCAGCAAGGTGATTCGGTGAAGCCAGTTACGAAACACGATACAGCGGCCGCAGTGAAACAAAAAGTAGATGGCACTAAGGCAAATACGGCAAAATCACCACCAAATGCCATCGAACAAAAGCCAAGTACTGATGCTAAAACGAATGGGACAACAGATGGTGCCAACGGTGCAAGCTCTACTGAAGCGGCTGGTAAGAAGAAAGCCGGCGCATGGGAATTGTCGAACTTTGACATCGGTCGTCCACTTGGTCGCGGCAAATTTGGCAATGTATATTTGGCCCGTGAAAAAGACACTAAATTCGTTGTTGCATTAAAGGTGCTGTTCAAAAAGCAAATCCAACGCGATAATGTCGAGCACCAAGTGCGCCGTGAAATTGAGATCCAGTCCCATTTGCGACACCCAAACATTCTGCGTTTGTATGGGTTCTTCCATGATCCGGCACGCATCTACTTGATTTTGGAATACGCACCCAAAGGCGCCTTGTACAAAGAGCTTCAAGGCCAGCCAAACAAACGATTCGATGAGCCTCGCACCGCCGGTTATGTTCTGTCATTGGCCGATGCTTTGATCTATTTGCATGAACGTGACGTTATCCATCGTGACATCAAGCCGGAGAATCTGTTGCTTGGACACAAAGGCGAATTAAAAATTGCCGATTTCGGATGGTCGGTGCATGAACCAAATTCAGGTATTTTTGTCATTCGCAATCATCGTTTCAACTCAATCCACATCAAATTCCATTTCATCATTTTACTTTCCTTTCTGTCCCATTTCAGCACGTACAACTCTCTGTGGTACCGTGGACTATTTGCCACCAGAAAGTAAGTCAATTACTGACGTCAATCGTTGTGTTCATTTTCATTGATTTCAATCATTGTTTGTTGTGTTTTGCAGTGATTTCTGGCCAACCGCACACAAAACAAGTCGATCTTTGGAGCCTCGGTGTTTTATGCTATGAACTGTTGACTGGTGAGCCACCATTCCAGACGGGATCATATGATGAAACATTTGTGAAAATCACCCAGGTGAAATATCAAATGCCGGACTTCGTATCACAAGCTGCCAAACATTTGATTTCAAAGTTACTCATCGCAAAACCGGACCTACGTATGCCATTAGCCCAGGTCAAGATACATCCATGGATCGTGTCAAACACAACAAAATGAAAACAGCCTTAACCACACACTAACTGTCCAAGTCCTGAATTGTTCATACGAAAAAAAAGAAAGAAAAAAAAACAACCTAGAATCAATAATTTTAAGGGAAAAAAAAATAAACAAAAAATTGCAAATGCATGTGCACTGGATTACTGGCCATTAGTTAAATTTATCGTTTGTGATTTGAATATAGATATATTGTTTGTGAAATGAAAATATTTGTAACTGTTTTTTGATGTCATTTGTTTAAGTATTATTTTAACGTATCGTAAAACAAAACTATTTTTTTAAAAAAAAATTATTTCAACAACACACACTCACAAAAAAAAACCATATGAAACGACACATTGACTGCGTGTACTTTCGTCAAAGCACGGTATAATTGTTAAGTTAAAAGAAATTATTATAAATCAATCTTATGTGTAAAATATTCTAACTGCCATTAAAATGTCGATTAGTCAATAAAACAAATTTGATCAACAACACAAACGACTGTCAACCGATGGAAATCGATAGTTTTACCTTTGAACCGATCATGGTGTGCTAGAATAAATGCGATTTTTTTTTAAATTGAGTCGATTCCGTTTATATGCACCTGAGTAGAGGAAAAAACAACAACTTGGATTTAATGGTTTGGAATTGAAATGGACGACTAAAATGTGTGCACGGACGTACCATGTGTGTCTGACAAATTGAATATATTTCCTCTGGCATGTCACAACATTGAATGATTTCCACTCCGATCACATTGATTTGCTTATGGATGAAGTTTGTTTAACCAAAACCGGTTGGACGTTACCTCCGACTTTTTTTTCGTTTAATTAGATTTTGTGTTTAAATTGGATTTGCCTCCCATGGATATGTGGTGCACATTGGTAATCTTGTTTAGCCACGTCCAACTAACGATACAACTGTTGAAATGCGTCACGTTTCATTTTTATTGCTTTGCATCAATAATAAATTGAATGAACCGATTGGCAGCGGCACATTTGACTGTATGTCAATGAGGCTTACGTTAAATTACATTTGAATGAGGGAAAAAAGAACCAAACGAATGATGCGGAAAAAATACGTGGATATTGAGCATCTTTTGCAGAGAGGAAAAAGTGGAATGTCTACAATGTACTTCAGAAGGTTCCAATTGAGTTTACACAATTTGTATGCAATAAGGACACAAGTGTGACACATATTTTGCTTTGATGCTTCAGTTGTTTTGACCATAGACTTATAAAATGATGATTCACTCAAGGAAAACGCTATCTTTTTCTGAGAATTCCGAAGCGGCGCTTGTGTGGAGAATGGAAATCTATTTAATCATTGGTGTAAATAGTTGATGGAGTTTATTATTAGCTCAACGTGATACGATGGCATACATTTTCATGGTAAAATATTCATCAGATTAAAGGGTTTTTAGCATAAACTTTTTACGGAGTGAATCATACTACTTTACATAACATGGTGAATGATAGCAACTGTGATTCTTTGAATGGAAGTACATGGTGGTGGGTGGAACTGTTCATGCGAAAGTGTGTGACAACCTCCAAAAAGGCTTGGATTGACAGGAAAATTGAAACCAATGTTTAAGCAATATTCCTACCAAAACATGTAAAACACGTGCATTTTTCGTTCATTTCGTTGCCCGTAATTTATTCACCATATGTAAGCTGTGTGGAAAAAAAACATTGGATTTATTTCACTAACGCATATAATAATCAATGTGCTCAAAATGATAATAATCAATGTGCTCAAAGGACAAAAAGATGGTAACTTGTGTGTGATTCGAATCCCGGATAACACCATCAACAAAACTAACTGAGACTGAATTTGCTACCTGAAAAAATAGAAGTAACCAAATTGTGCGTGACCAAATTATGTTATTCGACAATTGAAAGTTAAGCACTGGCACGAAGGTTGTAATTTATTCAATTTATTGATAGAACGATGTGAAAAAGAGAAATGATGGACTTGGAACTATTACACCAACCTGGAAAAGTACAAATATCTGGCCGTCGACTGGTCAAGCTATCAACTTCAAGCAATGTCGAATATTCAAAACATCATTTTTCATTGCATTTTCTTGTGAAATTGCGATGCTGCTCAGTACTTAGCATAAAAACAGAAGAACGGTGAGCTCTCGTTTTGATTCTGATTTTATTTTTCAAATATGCTCAAACAATCTGTCAAAACCAATTGAATGTGTTAGCAACTCAGGTGTTTCACCAGTAGCATGAGATTATTTTACACGTGAGTTCCATCCGCCAAATAAAAAATTAAATGAAAATAACCAAACTTCACACAATGTAAGTGCATTCATACAGACCAAATTTAATATTGTATGTAAGTCATTTATGTTTCTTTTTTTCATTCCATGATATGGACAACTGATGTATCAGCTCTGTATTCGTTGAACAATCGAAATGAAAAATTTTGGTTTCGACAAAAAAATCATTCCGAACAATTTTCTAACAAGGAACGCAAAACGTCGAATGGAGTGCTCAAAGTAACATTTTACCTCACCGAGGATTTTTACCTGCCAACCAAATGGGAAAACGTAGAAACAGCATTGGCTTTGATTGAAGAAAGAAAACACAGTGAGATACACAATGACTTGAGAAATACGACTTTTCCACATCATCTTTAATTCAAAAGCCATTTCGTGGTCTTCAACTCGTAGTTAGGTTAACCATCGCGTTTCAATTAAATAAAATATTCCATTTTCTATTTGGAACGCTCATTATAAAACCGAGCAAATAAAATGTCAATTCAAGTATGTAATCATGAATGAAATGAAAATTGAACTTTTATTCAACACATGAGGACATCTCCTCAATTGAACTAAAACTTGACAAAATTTTCGGAATTCTTCAGAATTGTACCCAAGTAGCTTACATTTTGTTTCATATCCATTCCAAAGTGACATTCTATCATTTTCAATGTATTCATTTTTTATGACACTGACAAAATAAACTAACTTCCGTACAAATGATGAGTTGCGAGAGCAGTAAGTTGCAATTTGATAAATTGAACAACGATACTCATTTTTTTTGTGTGAAAATGGGTGCTTTTTCACGTTTCAGTGTCACATTTTACTATGCAATAAAAATCAGTATACATTTCTATCGGTGAGATTGAGAGTAGTGTATGTTTCATTGACTTTGTTACGAAAGAGAAGAGCAAGTTTCTGTCGACTTAAAAATGGTTAAAAGCGAGTATGTTCGTTTTTCACGGTTTCCGCGGAACTGATAAGAGATAACAACTTAGTGTCTTCGGCAAAGTTGTAGCACTCGAGATCTTCTATAACAATGCTGAATTCAATTATCTCTTATCTCTTATCAGTTCCGCGAAAAGCGCGAAAAATGATAAGAAAAAAAAAAAGTTCTATATAAAATTTGCTTTTTTATATGCGCGATTTGCGCATACTCTACTTTAACGCCAACAGAATCATCAGAAAACATACTCGCCTCTTCAAAAATATAAATCGAAGAAAAAACATACTCCGCTCTCAATCTCACCCATAGATTTGTTCCACGTTCAATTAAATTTAGCTTCATCGCGACAGGTAGAAACGGGGGCGGTAAATTCATTGCTAAAGAGACTGTAACGGTGTAGTTGCAGCGAAACAAAGAATTCATGAATTATTCATGGCCAAACATCATAATTTAGTCTCGCTAACGCAAACGCCCGACACACTATTTGTTGTTTCTGATTATTTTGCTGCTATTCAAAAATTAAGTGAAATGAAATACTACGACATGGATTCGCCGTATACTATTTTGCGTTGACAATCGAATTTTTGCGTGTTGTGTGTCCCCAGCGCACACACATGTACAGAGAGAGAGAGAGAGACGCAGAACAACTGAATGCAGAGACAAAGATACATGCAATCTGCATAAATGAATAAAATCATGTTTTAAATGTGGATCTAAAAATAAAGTGAGCAGAAAATAAGCCAACGGGAAAGGCAAATAACGAAAACTCCAAGAAACCTACAACGATATATACAATACTTTTTTTCGGGAGGTTTTCAACGTTCAAGCATTTAGACATTGTATCCGGATTAGGCAGGCCAAATGCATGAATACGAAAAAGTTTTTCAGCTGGAAATACACATGACACATTCGAATTGCATAGAGAAGTTAATCTAGCCTCTGTGTATCAGAGTTTAGTCCACAAAGTGAGAAGCGTCGGGTTTTTGTTTCTTTTCTTCTGCTGCTTCTTCTTCTTCTCTTTCTTTTCCTTGAGTTTTGCTAGTGTTTGAATTTCGAGAATACATGCCATTTCGGATTGCACTCAACATATTTTATTCCGAGTATTTCATATTAATGCCAGACCAGCAAATACATACACATATGCAGAATAAACGAGCCACCGTAATGCTTGTGCTGAACCGAAAATTCCACCATTTTAACGAGCTGAGTATATATTTTGTTACTTTTAAGTGTTGCATAAATTAAGCCATATAATATTTACCGAACGATATTGTAATAACATGTAAATAATATTAGCGATGGCGGATTTGTGCCGGTGAACGCGTTCAATGCATACACAATGCCTAAACATGCCCGTTCCAAGTCTTCAGTGTGTTTATATTATGATGTTTGCTTTGTTGTGTTGTGCAAACCAAAAGGATTAGCAACTAAAGCGATTAACTTAAATCGTTGCCTCGATTCATCGTTGCTGTTGTTTCATGCGTTCGTTCGTTTCTTCTTGTTTCGATGCGGTTTTGTATTTGTGCACAGTTTGCGTCTTCTGTTTTTGCTCAGCTCAATTCTTTTTTCTCTCCGTTTAATTTTTGTTGTTGTCTTGCTCCAGCATGAGTCTTACAGTCGCAACACACAGATAATGCAAATCGTGTTATTTTTAACTGTCTCGGTAATATAATAATACGGTAGCTTTACATGCACACATACACACATTGGCGACCATAATCTAGACATCATAACCGAATTCACAATACATTCACATGAATAATCCCGAACGGGTTAAAGTTCACACAGAGATGAGAAAACTGGCAAGGTGTAGAATGAATAGGCAAAAGATTCAACGCATCGTTGTCATCGTCGTCTTTGGGGTGAAAACAAAAACACCTGCTTGAAAATATGTGATGATGTTAATTTATTATCTGCACGAACAACATGCTCGACATTTCATGGACTCGCCGACACATACACACACCCAAACTAATGCCAAATAAGGTGTAATCTTGGTTGGAGGTTATAGTTTTCCAATACACTGACAATGTGCGAACGAAACACATGCTCGCAAAATTATTGTCCAACACAATAACATGGCTAAAGCCGTCACTGGATGCTTAGAACTTTTGGGGTAGCTACGAAACATCGGTGTCGTGTGAAAACCACTCGAATGGCAAAAGTCTACATGGAACTTGAGAAAAATGAAGCATTTCCTGGAAAATTGTATTACTGGTAAATTAAATTAAAATTTAGCTTTAGCAACAGCATACAAAACCCATTTTCGTGGTGGTTTCGTATGTGATAAATGGAGTAAT